AAAAGCTTTTTCAGAAGACAGTGGCACAGCGCTATGTCTGCGGACTTACAACGCTAGAAGTCGGGTTTCGTTACCCGTGGTGGGCATAGCACAGATAGCCCATTGTGTAGCTTTATGCTCAATTACAAACAAACAAATGGCTTGAATATTAACAATTGTAAATATATCTGTTTATCCAGATGATGTATTATTATCTTAACATGGAATTAGCTTGTAAGTGGTAGTATCATTATTGCAGGTTGTAACTTTCAAAAATTTTAATTGTTACCAAAATTCACCTTCCGATAAAGTTCTTAGATTACTCTCATTATTAGTCTATCTTATGATATTTAGATTTTTGTAAAAACCAAAGTAATATTTTTATTTTTGTAGAATGGAATCCTATTTCTTATAAACACTTCAAGAGTGCACCAGATTGTCTATATGTAAAACAACAACAACAAAAAACATATCTGACGAACTAGTTTCTTTTAAATATTATTTTCAAAAATATTTCGAAGAAAATTAATTTTGTACACAATGAACATTAAATTTAACATATATAGTCTGGGCTTGTTTAAGTAGTAATGCGTTTTGGAAATTGTTTCATATTAAAAAAAACAAACATAGAACTATTACGTACAACGTTGATCAATCTGCGGTAATACGTTTGTTTATATATTCTGTAGTTTTTGTATTTATCTTTGCCTAAACATTGTTTGATTTTATATACTTTATAATGAGTAAAGATATAATCAATATTATTTATACAGTGTATATATTGTTCAGAAGTTCGAATAGAGTAAATTTGCAAAATTTTGAATTAATTTTCTTAAACTGTCGATCTTACAAGTAATTTCAGTGGCGATTTGTATTGAATTCCCTCTGTTTTGTCCAGTGGGACTGGTTTGTTTGGGACTGTTTTGTCCAGTGGGACTGGTTTGTTTGGGACTGTTTTGTCCAGTGGGACTGATTTATTTGGGACTGGTTTGTCCAGTGGGACTGTTTTGTCCAGTGGTTTGTTTGTAATTAAGCACAAAGCTACACAATGGGCTATCTGTGCTCTGCCCACCACTGGTATCGAAACCCAGATTCTAGCGATGTAAGTCCGCAGACATACCGCTGTGCTACCAGTGGAACTGGATTATGGGTTTTGTTAAAACATCAGTTGTTAAAAACAGTAAAAGAGTTTAACCTTTTTTGTTATTGTTGTTATTAAGCACAAAGCTACATAATGGGTTATCTGAGCTGTACCCATCACAGGTATCGAAACCAGGTCTTTAGACTCACTGCTGAACCACTGAGGGACAAACAGTCTAAACATCGTAGCACCCTCTTTCAATCTGCCAAGCTCCTCACTGTGCTCTCACTCTCTGCTTTCATCTATGTAGCCTGATCAAATAATTTCTCTCCATCTTTAAAATAAACATATCGACTTTACACTGTCTTCTGAAAAAACTTTACTAAACATATCGACTTTACACTCTCTTCTGAAAAAACTTTTAATAAACATATCGACTTTACACTGTCTACGAAAAAGCTTTTAATAAACATATCAACTTTACACTGGGGGGGGGGGCAATATTCAAGCCATAAACTATTTTATCTTAAGACCATAGCTATCATAGCCAGATACAAACCCTTAGTTAAGGTTAAGATGTAAAACCAAAACCAAACTTTACTATAGGATAAGAAAACCGCCTTCTGTCTGTCTGTCTCTCAAACATGCTCGTAAGTAACAGTATCTCCAGTTGGAACCACGATTTTTTTTGTATGTTGTTTCTTTAAGCATCTTTAAATATTTTGAGCAGTTAGATTTTTTTTGGGGGGGGGGTATAACTTATTTATCTTTATGATGTCCTTTTTTTGTAAATGTATAAATAATTAAAACTATATTGTTTTGTGTTAGGTCAATTTTATCATGCAGTTTGTTGGTTGTTGTCGTTGTTAGTATCTTAGTTAATGAACAGACTTAATTACACTTCAATTTATCTAAACCATTTTTTCAACTTTGTTGTTTATATTGGAACTTTGCATTCCGCGCGTTTTAACGAATTACTTACACACATTTGAGCGATTTCCCGGCAGGGTTTGATTTTTTTTTTTTTGTACTGAAGGATAAATCAACAACAATATTTTTTGGTAACATTTTGGCTCCATATCTATACTGGCGTTTTCAAACAGCCAGAGGACAGTCAAGTTACGAGTCATATTAGTGCCGCTAGGAGTACTATATGATGTATAAGTAAAATGTATATGTATAAGTGCTTTCTGACTCGGAATGTGTAATTAAGTAAAGGATTTCTTGATGGCGTATCATGCTATAATTTCTGTACAGTACCATAAAATGAACAGGGAGTGCCACAAATTATGATGTTTTAATAAACATTTCTTCTACATGTCGAGAATTGGTAAGTATGTATACACATGTATATGTGTGTGTGTGTGTGTGCTAAATAACATGAATACGTGAAATTCCAAAAACGCAATGAAAATTAGGTATCGCCAATAAACAAAACGTAATTTTACATTTTTACCCAACACCCAGTAACTTACCCACAATTGTTTGTTTGTAGGCACCCTACCTACAAAACTGTTTTTTACCTACACATAAAAAAACGTTACATAAGCCTGAAAGAGGCTGAATATAACATATTTTCAAATCCTGTTTCTTTTGTAGTTGAATTTACAGATTTCAGTTTTTATATTTACTTTGTGATTACAAAAACAAAGAAACTAAAAAAAAAACTGATAACCAAAACAGAATTTAGACCACACGCAGAATGCATCAGAAATTAAAATATGATAACAAATAGAAGTATTAGAAACAACGAAAAATGATTTAGGCTTTATGATTAACAAAACACTGAAGTCATCAGTTCTAAAAATTAACATTGAAAAACCAAACACCGAACACGAATTTAAACGACTGTAGCTTCTAACTGCAACACCTTTTACATGATCCACTTACAGCGCATGTGGTTAATACCGAATTTCATAATAGCATATTTGAAAATGTATGAAAAATAAGGTGTAGATTTTTGATGGCGTTCCCATTTTGTCCTGAAACGTGAGATATTAAAGTTTTCTGTAGTGCTTTTTTTATTTTATTTTTTAAAAAAGGTTCTTACAAAAATTTAGCTGGGTTTAAAACGCAATAAAAGTCACAAGGGCAATGCTAAACGTCGTTATTTTAATTGTTGTATTTCAACACATCCCAAAGGCACGTCTAGCAGATGAAAACACTACAGCGCATGCTCAAGAAAACAACTTTACAGTAGAGAGCAATTCACATAGAGACGTATAAAAGTAATTTTGATAGCATGCACCGCCGGCGGATTCCCGAAGAAAGGGGAGATCCACGGGCTCTCTACCCT